CTCTCATGTCTTCAGCTCTCTGATATTCTCTTTTAAATTATAGGGACAACCTGCTTTTTTTTTTCCTGTCAGCTTCCTGTAGGTAAAACTTCAATTAGAAGTCAAAGAAAAATATTTATCAGTGAATCTAACAGACCTTTAGTTCTCTCTCTTCCATCACAGAATGCACTGAGCAGATATCTCATTCAGCAATAACTACACCCACTGCAAGACCCCCCAAATCTGCCAGGAAGGGGCAAAAGCCAGCACTAAACCAGTGTGCCCACAGCCTCAAGCACCCACACTGCAGATCAATATGGTTTGATGATGCCATCCACATTAATGTGATTAAAAAGAACTACATCAGCTACAGGAAACTGTTCAAATGCTTCATAGAAACAACAGATGTGATACAACTTCTTACCTACAAGATGACAGAATTTCTCCCTGGATGTTCTCAAAAAGCAGTCTGGCAACCTCTAAAGCTCTCAGTTTGTAGAGAACTTGAAACACATAAAAGTGAGATGTTTGGAGAAAGGAGAAGATAGCAATAAAAAGAGCTGGGATATAGGGTGGATTCTGAGGTTGAAGGATGGTATTTCTAACAATTTTGTATTTTAACATCTGCAGAACTAATATCCAACTCCTCTTTTGCAATTCCTCGTCTTCATTACTCTCAAGCACTTTTCCATCCTTTGAGTACTTTTGTCCTACAAGGTCACCAGAAATTTGAAATGTGGTTTCACTATAAAAGCAAAATGTTATTTTAAATTGTTTGTTTTTCCATATTCTCACTTTTCTTGTTACTTTGTTATTATTTATGTCCTACTACATCTTTGAAATGGTCTCCTCAGTGAAAGGTCAAATCAAGGAGGAGAAACAGAGCAACAAATTGTCTTAGAAGAGGAGTACAATATTCCCTTATAAACCAATCCTGTTAGGAACCAATGGGACTGAAGAAGATCTAAATGGCAAATCTCTGCCCTAGGTATCTGCTGTGGAAGAGAAAAAAAAGGTTACAGAAACAAGCATCTTTGCTTTTGTCCTGTGGCACAGGTTTTACTGGCAGGATAAGCTATTGTCTTGATACACTGTGATGGAAAACTGATAAAACTGGATGAACCACATGGAAATGTGGCAGAGCTGGGTCACAGAAACGTGGAATGACTTAGGGTTGAAGGGACTTTAAAGATCATCTACATTCCAAACCCAAACCCCCTGCCCACGGGCAGGTTCTCAGAGTCCCATACAGCCTGGCCGTGAGCACTTCCAGGATGAGGCATCCACAACTTCTCTGGACAACCTGTTCCAGTGTCTCATTACCCTCTGAATTTCTTCCTAAAAAATAATCTAAACCTCTCCACTTCCAGTTTAAAGCCATTCCCCTTTGCGCTAGCAATATTTGTCCTTGTAAACAGCCTCTCCTTTTTAAAAACCCCCTTTAAAACCATCGCTGATAGGCTACAAAAATTATGCAATTGTAAATTTGCAAGGAGTTGATTGAACAGACAAGAGATAAAGAAAAACTCACACAACAAAACCCCCTGTGCTTTAGCCTTTATTTTGGAAAAAACTGGAAATAAACTGTGTTTTATTTTGGAAATAAAACACAAAAATAGCTTATGTTTCTGGCATCCCTGGAGGCCAGAAGTAAACCAAGTAAAGCAAAAACTGTTACAGATTACTCAGAATCACTCAGTGGTCAGGTTAATTGAAGGGATTCACATGTATCCCACAGGCTTGCTCCTGGGTGTGTTTATCCAGTGTAAGCACATTCTTCAAACAGTCTTTCACATGGTGTGTGCCTTGCACCTCAGTATTGGCTTTGATTCACATTTTGGTATTTGCCGTTGGAAAATAATTACTCGGGATAGGCTGGGGAATATTACAGTCACTCACAAATCGCCAGCCCTGCTCAGCTACCAAGGACGTGGTCTCCTGGGAAATAGCGATTCCTTCCCATCCCAGCGGGATTTCACCCTCAGGTCCCCACAGCTCCCAAACCAAAGCACCTCTCCGTGCCTTACTTAGGGATTGTGGTGCGTGGCACCTCCTACCCTCGGGGAGAAGCGGCGAGCACCGCGGAGAGTGAGGGCCGCCCCACAAAAGGCGACGATGGCTGGTCCCTCGGGGAGAAGAGGGAGCTCCTTTCAGCGATGCCGGCACAGCCGCCCCCAGGCAGCGGCACTGTGACACCTTGTCCCCTGGTCACCCAGCCCAGGGGGGCAGGCGCGGCTCAGTGCCAGCGCTCTCCTGCATCCCCCGCAGCGATCCCTGACGTTCCCCTCGCTGGGGTCCCCTGCTGATGCTCACCCTCTCCCCAGCCCTTTCCCCGGGTGTGGCGCGGGGGGAGCAGCCAGCACCCGGCGATTCTCTCCGTGCGGAGCCCAGCGCCGGCACATCCCGCTGCCGCCGGGAGCCTGTCCCGACAGGAGCCCCGGGAGCGGGGCCGGGGCAGCCCCAGCCCCGGGCAGCTCCGGGAGGGGCTCCCCCCGGCCCCCCGAGCCGCCCGCAGCGCGCAGCCCGCCGGCGGATCTCTTTCCCCCTCTCTCGGAACCCTTTTCGTTCAGCGGCGATCGTTTCGAGATAGCAAATATACCCGGAGAATTTCCTCTATTAAAAAAAAAAAAACCACCCAAAAAACCCCCACCAAAACCAAAAAAAGAGGGGGGCGCAAAAAGACGGGGAGGGGAGCTAGTTTAAAGTGCCGGGATTAAAGGTCTGTGCTAGTTTCAAGCGCTCATAAAACGGCCTGAAGGATGCTATTTTGCTGCAGTCTAGGTTATTTCAGCCCACAGTTGCACAACAAACCATTTAAACATTTCAGCACAAAACAGATTCCATTGTTGAGCTGCACATTAAAAAGTGTTATTCGCTTTGAAGTTTTTGTCTAATGGCTCTAAACTGAAAGAAAATGTTTTCCTATTACTTAATTCAATCATAGCGAAGAGGCTTGGTAAAAAGCCCACGGATTTTGCCCAAAGTGTGACAGAGTTCTCTTTGTGTTTGCTTATCCTCTGCTGTCACACACTTTAATTCGCCTCTCTTTATCTGGCATTCAAAACTTTCTTCAATGACATTCAATAAGGTCCAGCGGCTGGAAAAAAAAACTGGTTATTTTTTTGGATATTCTTTCCCAGTAGCTTTGGGCTTGGTGTGCATTCAGAAGCTGTTAACCCTTTGCCTTCCTGCGGCTCGGAGCCCCGGGGTTCAGCCCTTGGGCAGCGGGAATCCCTCGGAATAAGGCTGAATCCACCACCCCCGGTGGCGAGCCAATTCTCAGCGGGGAAAATGCCCCTTCCCGGGACCCGGCTCCGGCGGAAAATGTTTTAAAATACCTTTTCCTTAAAAATCAAAAAGAAAAATCCTAACCGTATTAACACTTTCAGGGAAAGGACACTTGGGAATCCTTTCTATATCATCGCGGGACTGAGTTTTTATTAACATTCGTTTTTGCTCGCTCTGTGATTTTCGCCATTCATTTGTGCACATCAGTACATTTTTAGGCTCAGGCATCAATAGTCTCTCGGCAAAACTCCCGTGGATTGCTATAAGAATTGTGACCACAGGCAAAACAACCTCTGCACAACCCTGAGACACGGAGTACACCACTTCCAAGGCTTTTTCTTCCTTTCACCCTTTTCCCCCCTCCTTTTCAAAAAAGCCCGTTTGGTTTCGAGGCGGGGAGGTTACTGTAGGGACCAATCTCCCCACGTTTTGCCAGGGGTCGGAGGGTGCGTTTGTCTTTTTATTGCCTGTATATTAAACGGGAAACTCGGGGTAGAATACGTATCCCCGCGATTTTTTTTTTCTTTTTCTTATTTGTTAGCATTCCTTATTCACCTACTAAAGCAAGGAGCTCCAAGGAGAGCGGCGCGGGGAGCGGCTGCGCGGGGCAGCGCCGGTGCGCCTGAGCCCCGCGGAACGCGCGCCCGCTTCGGGCACCGCTGCGAACTCAGCAGGTCCCTGTGCTAAGACATCCAGCAGCCGCCGCAGTGTTTGAGTTAAATCTCATCGTTCGGGGAAAAAAAAAAGCTGCTTCCCTGTCGTGCCCACAGCCCCGGGGACTTCCCGGCGCTTTTGCGCGGCATCGGTGCGGGCTCGGGCTAGCGCGCTTTGGCGGTGGCCGCGGTGCCACGGTGTGATGGCAGTGCTACCGCCGGGACTGGGCACCGGGACCGGGTGTGGAGACACACGGAGTGTGCCGAGCGCCTCTTCCCCCTCCTCGGGAGCCGCCGGCACGGAGCGGGGTCTGCCTGTCGGGGTTTCTGCACCCGCAGCGGCGCGGCCGAGATGCTTGCGGCTCTCCGCACCCGTTAGCCGTGCCCCGGTGCCCACGCAGAGGCCCGGAGGATGTCCAGGATATGGAGCACCGGCTGGCACATCTCTGCGGCCGGGGCTTCCCCCGACGGCGGCGACAGCGACAAGTGGCAGGTCCGGGACCCAGGCTGGGAACAAAGACGCTGGGCTGGGGAAGGCGGCGGGCGAGGTAGCGGGGACGAGACATCCCGGAGGAGAGGGGAGAGAGACAGGCCGTCGGCACCGGGGGCCGACCTGGTGCCACAGGTGGGAAAGGCACCGGGGGGCTGGCAGGGGAAGCTGCGCCGGCGGAGACCGCGGCTGCAGCCGGCAAAATAAACAAGTGGGAGCGGGCTGAAAGCTGGGCTGAAAGCGAAGGAGAGCGATAAAGAGAAAGAAAAGAATATTAAATCGCGAGAGAATGAGAAAATAACCCCGCCAAAGGGAGAGGAGGGGAGAGGCCGCCTGCTACGGCGTGGGTGGGGTCGACAAGAATAGAGTACATTATGCAGTTCATTTAGTTAACAAGGGAAATAATGAGGGAGCGTGCGGCGTGAATGCCAAGAGAAGAGCCACAGAAAGCCCATTGAGCGCCCGGCGCCGCCATCACATGGCGCGGGCGCTATTTAAAGCGGGCGGCGGGCGCCGTTCAGCACCACTCGGGCTGGCCAGCGGCGCCGCGCGGGCGCTGCGCGGGGCGCTGCGCGGGGCTGCGCGGGGCCATGCCGCGCTCCTTCCTGGTGGACTCGCTGGTGCTGCGGGAGGCGGGCGAGAAGAAGGGGGAGGGCAGTCCTCCGCCGCCGCTCTTCCCCTACGCCGTGCACCCCTCGCACCCGCTGCCCGGGCTGCCGGCCGGCGCCTGCCACGCTCGCAAGGCCGGGCTGCTCTGCGTCTGCCCGCTCTGTGTCACCGCCTCCCAGCTGCACCCGCCGCCGCCCGCCATCCCCCTCATCAAGGCTTCCTTCCCTCCCTTCGGCTCCCAGTACTGCCACTCGCCCCTGGCCCGCCAGCAGCACTCCGTCTCCGCCGTCAGCGTGGGGCACGCCCCGGCGCTCTACCAGGGCGCCTACCCGCTGCCCGACCCCCGGCAGTTCCACTGCATCTCCGTGGGTAAGGCGGGCAGGGCGGCAGCGGGGCGTGCATGCCTGCAGGGCAGCGGTGGGCGCTGCGGGAGGTGATGGGGATCCCGGGGGACCCTGCCCAAGGCGCCTGGGGAGGGGGTGCCTGCCCGGCGCACGGAGGCTGGACGGGGAGTCCCGGCCCCTCTCCCTGTCGGTGCCCCGGACAGGGGAAGCTCCCCTGCTGCCCGCCGAGCCTCCGATCCGGGCTGCGCGGACGGGGAGGGACAGGCGGCCGCGGTACCCTCGTGGGCTCGGACTCCAGCCTTGCTGGGAGCCTCGGGCACCCCGGGACGAGGAAGGGCTGCGGCCCCGCAGGGTGGGCGGCAAGGCGGGCTCAGCGGGGACTGGCGAGTGCCGGCGCTGCGGGGCGGGCGGCGGAGGGTCCGGCCGGTCCTGACGGTGCGCCCCTCTCCATTCCCAGACAGCACGTCCAGCCAGCTGCCCAGCAGCAAGAGGATGCGCACCGCATTCACCAGCACGCAGCTCCTGGAGCTGGAGAGGGAGTTCGCCTCCAACATGTACCTCTCCCGACTGCGGCGAATCGAGATCGCCACCTACCTGAACCTCTCCGAGAAGCAGGTGAAGATTTGGTTCCAGAACCGACGGGTCAAGCACAAGAAAGAAGGCAAAAGTAGCTCCCACCGGGGCGGGGGGGGCGGCCACAGCTGCAAATGCTCGTCCCTTTCCACCACTAAGTGCTCGGAGGACGACGAGGACTTGCGCATGTCTCCGTCCTCCTCGGGGAAGGACGACAGAGGTCTCGCAGTCACCCCCTAACCACCCGCACACCCACCCCGGCTCCGCAGGAACTGTAGCGAAAGCAGGGGAGGGAGTCCTGCCTGCCCCGGTGCTGACATGCAGCCGAAGGATTTTATACTGTTTTGTATAATTTGTGTAATTTACGAAGGACTTTCTCGCCTTTCTAGACCCCCGGCCCACGGGGACGGGTGTCCCGGCACCCTGGTGTAAATAAACTCCTGCCTGGGACCCCAGGCGTGCCCCCATAGTGCTCTCTCACTTGTCTCCCCGCAGGGGCATCCCCGGGCCCGGGAAGCTCCTCGCAGACCTCCCTGCGCCCCGAGACGGGCGCGGAGTGCGCGGGTGCTGCGCGGCACGGGCGGTGCGCCCGCCTGCAGGAATGCTCTCCCGGGCTCCCTCGGTAACTCGGCGGTGCCCAAAAGCGGGCGGACGGATGGGGAGGGTTGAAGGATGTTTGGGTTACTATCTTTTGGTCTTATTTTATTTTAAATTTTTTCCCGCTTTACAAAATTGATTTGACTTCGTCGCTGCCGGGCGCACAACTGTGGTTGTACCGTTCCGTCCCACTCCCTCCCCGCGGGAGATATTTATTTATTTATTTATGTGCAGAGAAACGATGATGGCGATGATAATAATGGTTATGATAACAATAAAAGCTCGTTGGTGGTTTATTTCCTTCTCTCCTCGTAGAAAGCAGCCACTCGGCGCTGGGAGCACCACCGCTCTCCAGCCCGCTCGGCCGCAGCTCGGCACCGGGACCCAGATGACGGGGAGCCTTCCTTTCTCCGTGTCGAGCTGAAGGTACGGGGTGCATGGGACCCCCGCTTTCTGAGAGAACCCCGGGGGCTCTCTCCGTCCTCCCCCGCGAAGCTAAAGCTCGGGCCGGGAGAGGCTGTGCTGAGCGCCTTTCATTGCCATCCCAGCCGCTCGCCTGCCTGCGGCTGCAGGGCAGTGTGAGCCCCGGGCTGCCGCCGGGACTCGGCTCCTCTGTCCCGGTGTCCGCGGCCGCCGGATAGGAATGACTGTCCCAGCCTCCCGCTAACCCTCCGGGGATGCGGCCGGGGCCAGGACGGACCCTGCTGGGGCTCCCTCCACCGCGACTACCGGGACCGCCAGCCCCGCTCCCGGCTGCGCTTTGCTGTGCTTCCGCGCCGTGACTCGGTGACTCGTCCCGGTGGCTGGGGGGGAGCCCCGTCGGGAGCAGCCGAGAGGTCCCGCAGCCCCGGGGGTGCCACAAGCCGTGGCGCGGGGCCCGACTGGCATCAATCTCCTTGGATGCGGGAACCCAGAGCCCGGGGCTCCGGCCGCAGCTCCCTTAGTGCAGGGAAAAGCCCCTTGTGCCGGGATTCCCGCTGCGTTCGGGCTCACGGGAACGATCTTCAGTGGCTGCAGCGGCGGTCCCTGCACCCGCAGCCGATGCCTCGACTCTCCCCGCGAGGCCGCAGGGCTGCACCGCCTGGCACGGCGGGTTTCATGCCCTGCAATCCGGGAAAGGTGCTTGGGTCCCTAGGCTACCGTAGGTTCCTGCCCGTACCGGGATGGGACCCAATTTTCATCCCAGAGTATGTCCCAAACATGCACCGGGAAGAGGCAGGAGATGTCCCTCATGGGAAATCACTGTGGAGAAGGTCAATGGTGCTCCACACACAGGATAAAGTTGGTGTGGGAAACTGTGGGTTTGAGATCCCTGGGCACCCAGGGTAAAGGCAGAGTAGTTAAAAGTCCCACTGCTTGGACAACATCAAGTCCTGTCAATAAAACAAACATGTCACCCTCCAGCCTTTCCAACACACCTTGTAGAGCTGTGGGTCTGGGAGATCTACAGTTCCTGCAGCTCCACCCCACGGATGAGTGGGAAGTGTGACCCTGCAGCCCATGGCACACTGTGGACCTCTCAGGACACTCAGGACAATGTGAAGTGGGGGGGAACCATTAGACATGACACTGCAGGACAGGCACAAGGCAGTACTCTCACCCTGCTGGTCTGGCCTGATTTGTGTTCCCCTGTGTGGAAGCTGCAAGGATTTGGTGACACTAGGTAGCTGCATTATCAAGATTGAGGCAAATAGACAAAATGTTCAGGCTCCTTGGTGGCCTTCCTTCACCCACTGACCCCTGGGACTCTTAGACCTCTTACCTCTCTGTCTTGGCTTCCTCCTCTGCTGGCTTCTCGCATTACCCCGCTGAAATGGGATGGCAGGACAAGCTTGTAGTTACGACACTCCATGGGCAACATCTTCCTGGCTTCTTTTCCTTTGACTCTTGGGGGTGAATTTGGCAGGTTTGAGTCTAAAATCTGGCCTTGATACAAGAGTCAGTCAGTCTTGCCTGGTGCTTGGCCCCATAATGTTCCCTGCATGCCCATTCTTCCCCGGTGGACCAGTTTCAACAGAAAAGACCCCTCAGAGGACCTTAATTTGCACAGCAGGGCCCTGTAGCTTTTCCAGCACTCACCTCCCATCCTGCTCATGTTTACCAGGCTTGTTTTGAAAAGTCATTGCAAAATAGAGGCAGAAACAGCCTAGTGTAGGTTTAGCAAGGGCTCTGGCATCCTCTTACAGAGCACTGGCACTGAAGGCAGTGGCACCCGTAGAGGAGTGTGTGTGCCCCTCGTGCCTGCTCAGCAGCAGGGGACTGAGCCAGCTGGCTGGCAGTCACACACAAGGAACACCAGCACTGAGTGTTTGAGTGTTGCTGTTGGAATGGTATCGTGGTGGGGCTGCTGAAGCTCTTAACATCCTTTCCTGCCAGCACATTCCCACCATGTCTCTGTTCCTCCATGGCACAAGCTCTGATGTACAAAACGTGCCTCCTCACACCCCTGTTTTGAGGCTGAGCAGAGGCAGACAGGGAGAGCTTCTCACCACTGTGCTAGGGATGATGAGGCAGTGGCACTGCCCACGCAGCTTGCTCCTTGCTCACTGTGAAACCTGGGCAGCAGCATGCCTGGCAGACAAACAGTACCTTGTGCACAAACACATTTTATCCTGAGGAACCAGAGCTGGTGGATCTGAGGCACAGCTGGAAAACTTTATGGGTGTGCAGAATCAAGCTCACTATCACATCCTCACTGCAGGCACAGCGGCTGTGGGCTGCAAGGAAGAATCTTGTAGTGATGCTGCCCTGGCCAATGCACACATTACAGAGAGTGTGGGCACACACGTGACTGCATCCTTTATGGACTGAGTTTGTCAGCCAGACAATTTGGAACAATCCTCAGCTCTAAAATGTACCTCATATATGTAAAGTAGCAAAGAGAATTCCCTCATATGGTATAATTTTGTCTGAACAGCAGTGGAGTATCACAATGGATGGCCCCAACAAGACAGTATTAATATTCTCCGGTGCACGCTGGCCTCTGCTGCAGACCCTGTGTACCTTGCAAAGCCCAGTGGGGCTCTCAGTGCACTTGACAGTCATTATGCCACATCCACATGCAGAGATAATCCCTCCTTAGTTGGGCATTTTTCTAATTTAGTGAGAAATCATTACAGCAAATGCTCAGAGTGTCATTTTCAAGGACTCTGAGGTTGGGCAAATTAAAGTCATTTTGCTGTGGGAAGAGCGTGGGCACCTCTGCTAAAGCGAATGTCATAACATGCCAATTTTCAACTTTCTATCTCTAGCCATTTTGGCAGCAGGTTTCTGAAAGTTACTTAAGCATTTTAGCATCTAAAATGCCCAGTCTCACCTGATTCCAACAGGAAACAGATTTATAAATGCACAAAATGAGTTTGAATATTTTCCAGCATATACTTTTTTGATCTGTCTTAAAGTTGAATTACTTCTGCCCTAGCATGCAGAGAGGAGACTCTTTGGATGCTATGAAAGCTGTAAAGACTGTTTTCCTAGGGGAAAAGGGACTGTCCTGGCAGGGGAAGGAGGACAAAAGTTTATGCTGGGATCTCTTTTCCACACACTGGTATTGCTGAATTTTGGTGTCCTACACCCCATCTCATCACATATGCAACCACTCTCTTTTCACAGGCACAAAATGTGAATGTGATATGGATACCTGAGGAAAAAAACAAAGGCTTGGGATGAAGAACCTTTTCAACATTAATTACCTGTGTACTTACATATACTTAATATTCATTTGCATTATTTGGCTTTTACATTAATGTGATTTTTATTTTTATCTCTCGACCTCATTTGGTTCTGCATAAATGCTGCATCAAATAGGTTTACAGTTGAAAACATGCATTGGCATTTTAAATGCTGTTGCTCTTAATCACAAAACTAGTATTATTAACTCAAGAATTCCATAATTTGGTTTATCTGCAGTTAATGTATTTACACAGTACCAGCTCTGAGCTGGCCCCATGGCCTTGGAATAGTATTTGGGATAAATGGACTTGCTGCTTTGGAATTGCATTACACTGTGAGTTACTGGGTGTTTTTCTATCACTGTTATTTACTTAGAATGAACCTTACCTATTAATTTCCTGGGATAGCAATGATTAATTTTTAATCCTTAGGTTCCTGAGGGCAGCTCTGAAATTTGATTCTCTAAGGACAATATAATTTGGTCTATGAATGTGATTACTTTAAAATACAGGTGTGTATTTAAAAAAGATCCTAAACAAAACAGTTTTGCATGATATTCCAAATGATTTGAAGACAGGTACATCAACAGTAGCTCTCTCTCAATTACATTAATTTTGAAAGTGTTTTTGCTATGAGCACAAAGTACTCATTTATCAGGATGTAATTATGCAAGATCAGGACATCTCCTAGGATACTGACACTGATGATGACAGCAAATGGCTGGGCCTGATGCTTAATATGGCTGTAGCTCTACAGGAATGGCTGCCTGGTGCTGGACAGCTGACTGCTCTGGAACTACTCTATATACTCTATTTTATATAACCCATATATATCCAGCATGTATAAATAAAACCAAACTAACTAGCTAGCCAAAAAAAGAAATAGCAATTATCGTAACCAGGAAAAATCTTAATTGTTAATTTTTTTATATCCCCTTTCCTATTTTGCTACTACCTTTTCTAACTTGCCCT